TACTTTGGCCCCAACAATTACTTTGAAGTATGGGGTCCACCTAAGCGTGTCGAGGCAAACGAAGCTGCTCATGATGAAACTGCAGCTCGGAACTTGTGGAACGAGAGCGAACGTCTTGCTATGGTCAAGTTTGATGTCTAAGCAGTAAGTTTATAGGATACGTGTTTTCTGGATAATAATACTCAATAAAATATCTCTTTTTGACTTTGAGATTGCTTTGAACATCAGTAAAATGAATGCTTTTAATGCTGATAGCTCACCAGTCCATCAGCGTTCGTGGCGACAGCGTTACATGGTGTATCACTCATGACTTACGATGCATCAAGGATACAAGGTACTTTATGGACTCCATTGTTGACGAAATTTATTCGTATCGGGGCGATGATAGCGCCGTGGGTTCTGCATTGGAAAAGAGGATATGAAAATGTGTTTTTATTGACTTGAGTTCTCTGTGGTAGATCAATGGACCCGACAATCTCGACACTGTTTAGTATTTGAAAGCATTCGCGGTCACAAATAGCGATTCGGCCGCGAAAATGACGTACAAGACGACTGATGAGCAAGACAATGATTAAGTTCGTAGCTGCATGAGCGTGTTGAATCTGATCGAAGTGTGAGTATCAGGCTCCCTGGAAGAAACTGTTGAATAATGCGAGTCAGCTCGACTTAAATGAGATGACAGGATTGAGTAAACGAATTGAGTGAACAGATTAATTTCTGACAGTCAGGAGTTTTGACAGTTGCAAAGCTTTTGCAAATGGTTGAAAGAGATGCTCGACTTCGAATGTTGGCTGAGTCGACAGCCGTTTGGGCGATTCATACTATTGATTCATCTTCAAACCTAAAAAATAAGCTGTGCCTGGGACTCTACCCAAGAGACAAATTATTTTAACGCTCGCAAAGCAAAGATGCCTTCACTTCAATAGTCGCATGATATCTACCACGATGTCTGGTCATTTTCATTGTTGCTGGTCAACAGAAATCGGGCTATCATTAAGGAAATTTAACGTTTAGTAGAGGTTGAACTCACCCGACGAAATGCACAATTGGTCTTGAGTATTAAGATTAAGCTTATCTCCAAAAATTTCGAAGCAAAACCTATTTCTCAATGCTCTCGTCCCAGTCATAGCAACACAGTTGGCTCCTTGAATCTCTCATTTGTTAAACGCAACGATGGGCATTAATTCCAGCAAGGAAGTTGCTTCTCGGCCTCAAGTGCCTTCAAATTGGAATTCAACAGACATTCCATCGCAGAAAGATAAAGTTGTAATTGTTACGGGTGCGAATTCCGGAATTGGATTTGAAATCGCTCTACAACTTGCTCGAAAGGGGGCTCATGTTATTTTAGCCTGTCGAAATGAAAAACGCGGTTTACAAGCTGAAGCAGATATTCAACAGGATTTGAAATCATTGTCGGATGCTGGTAGCGTCAAGTTTATGCAGGTCGATATGGGTGATTTAACAAGTGTACATTCTTTTTCCGAAGAATTCAAGAAGATGTACGAGCGACTAGATATCCTTATTAACAATGCGGGGATCGGAGGTCGCACCTACGCTACAACAGCCGATGGATTCGAACTGATTTTTGCCACAAACTATTTGGGGCCATTCGTATTGACAGCCCAGCTTTTTGACCTGCTAAAGAAAACTGCGCCATCGCGTATTGTTTCTGTGAGCAGTTTCCTACACTGGTATGGAACGTGGGTCTTTGATGAAGATCAAATCATGGTGAAAAGACCAAAGGAACATGGACAACTTGGAACGTATTCGGTTTCAAAAGTATGTTTTTTACTTTTTACAAACGAGCTTGATCGTCGTCTCAAAGCAGCTGGAATCGACAACATTATCACTACAACGGCTCATCCTGGTTATTGCGATACCAGTATCATGGGTGATGCGACGAAAAAGAAAAGTAATTGGTATTGGTGGCTGTCCTATCGTCCATATGGCATCTACCCACCACAAAATTTTCCAAAGGGTGCTCTACCTACATTATATGCTGGACAGCTGATGGGGTGAAGGGTGGAGACTACTTTCGACCTAAGTATTTGGAGCTTTATGGCCACCCTATTCGTGAGGAGCCTGCGAAGCTGAGTAAGTCTGAGACAGCGGTAGCGAAACTATGGGCGTATAGTGAAGAATTAGCGCATCTTAAGTTTGACGTCACCAAGTAAGGTAATGAAGCATTAGCATACAGATCGTTCAAGGTTGTAGGTTCTGCTTAGAATTTGCTTGGCCGACTGACTGGTTCATGTTCTAAGCACTATCAATGCGAGCATGGCACACATTTGGTGGATAGTTAGACGTCTCTGTAAGTAGCATCTTCCATTCGTATGCACTGTTAAGTAGATCGTCTATTCACGTATCAGACTACAAAACTTACTGCCATGTTCAAGTTTTTGATTAACTGATAATTATTCACAACGAAAGATGAGCATAACTCTGAGATGTAAAAGCAGGCTGGCTGACTTGATTACTTGGTAACTTCAAACTTCAATCGAGTGAGCTTCTCGCTCAGATCCCAAAGCTTAGAAGCTGCACTCTCGGACTTGCTCAGAGATGATGGATCTTCACGTATAGGGGAACCGTAACACTCCATATACTTTGGTCCGTAGTAGTCGCCACCCTTCACATTTTCAGCTGTAGCAGCATACAAGATTGGCAACGCTCCTTTCTCGGCACTTTGTGGTGGAACGGCCGCGACTGTACGAAAGACCAACCACCACCACCAATTGTTGTCATTAGTCTGTGCACCTTTCTTCATAATGTTCGTATCACAATACCCAGGGTGAGCTGCAGCAGCGATAATCGTGTTAATCCCTGCAGCTTTCAAACGACGATCAAATTCCAGTGTGAAGAGAAGATTGCAGAGCTTTGAGACACAATATGTTGCGATTTGTCCATATTCCTTTTCGTTTTTAACCATAATGTTGTTCTCATCGAATACAAAATATGCATGACGGTGTAGAACGCTACTAACAGTAATGACTCGAGCACATTCGCTCTTTTTCAGTTGATCAAACAACTGGGCAGTTAAAGCAAAGTGCCCTAAATAATTAGTGGCAAATTGGAGCTCGTGACCATCTACTGTCTTAGTGTACGTGCCTCCAACGATACCAGCATTGTTGATAAGGAGATCCACTCGAGGATGCATCTTTTTAAACAATTCACAGAAAGCATGCACGCTACTCAAGTCTCCAATGTCCACAAGCACAAGTTTCACAGTACCATGATCAGGAGCATATCGGATAAGTTCTCGAATGTCAGCTTCTGCTTTTAATCCACGCTCTCGATTACGACACGCTAGCACCACGTGCGCTCCATTACGAGCTAATTCTAGCGCAGTGATAAAGCCGATTCCGGAATTACCACCCGTAACAATCACAATTTTGTTTTTTTGTGATCGAATGTGCGTAGCGTTCCAATTACGAGGAACCTCTGGTTGAGATGCTGTACTCTTGCTAGAATTACCACCCATTCTTTTCGTAGCAATATTTAAAATTGACGAGAAAACCGTCTGACAATGAAGTTAAGCTGGGACATGGACATTAGAAAGAGTAACGGGATGAAGAACGTTTAGCACCGTTTATTGTTTTCTAGCAGAGTATCCCCCGATATCATTTTCGTCAAAACCACTTTCTCAAATGTGAATTCTCTCTGCATCCTATATTCTAGTCACACGCTTGTCTGATTGTGGTAAGATGCTATTCCAGGCCATGGTCTGAATCATTACCTTTCGATGTAAGAATCACGTGAATATTCTGTTACTGAGAGATCGAGTCTACGAAATCGCTTTAACACCAAAATTGAATAGAAGACAGACTTCTTTAAGGAAAAAAATGTATAGCGTTTTTCTACAAATGTAAATATACCTGCGACTATCATTGTAGAACTGCGAAAAACATTGACAGAAACTCTGCGACTGCGAACAAAACGTTGTCGAAGGTCAAGACAGACGAAAATTCTGAGATCTCGTGTCACCGCAAGAATCATTGCGAGTTAGTCTGGCGATCCAGTCGATAATGCATACTACTCGATTGAACGTGACATGTGGTCACTGTGTTTCCATCTATTCGTATAAAATCATTTGTCAACCCGAAGCGCCAGACATACCTGTGACAATCATTTTGCTTGGAACTTTATGCGAGGATTGCGGTATTTAATGGCATTTTGATGTTTTCTATTGATCGCACAATGCACTTAGAGGTAGACCTTCGGTGTGCAGGAAAGCAGCAATATTAAAAATTTTGGTCTACTATCTTGTATGTATCGTATCGCCTAGTATTATTGCAAGCAGAATAGAACAATGGCCTGTCCTCACACAAAGAACTTGTGGTATTCGTCTTTTCAAACGTGTACTGGTATATGGAGATAATTCATCAATATTGTAAAACTATCATCAAAAATAATGGACCACACAGGTCGAATATGCTGAATTTAAGCGTTCATGTCTAGGTGACGGCTTTTGCAAAATGGGTGAGCTGAAGTCGCAAGTGATCTAAACACAAAGGATGACATAACCTATGCAAGCATGAAGCGGACTAATTTTAAAGCTATCAAATCAAAGTTACGGTATGTGGAAAATAAAAGCTAAGATCAGCAAAAAATTGGATAGTGGAGCGAAAATTAGCGAGTGATGTCTTACTGCCCGTTGAAGTGGCTGTACATGCATGGTGCTAACTGCATGATTTTGCTGGATGTTTCATGTATGACTACGTAGATCACTCACGTTCAAGATTGTACCGAAAATTGCAATTACAACATGTCATATCCTAAATACGATTAGCTTAAAAACAATATTTTTTTGGATTGAAGGCATTTCTTTCATCCTGTAATTTTGGAACTGCAACGGGTTGCTGGGCTTTGAAGAAGATAGCCTTGACTCTTAGAGTCTGCGTTGACAAACGCACATAATGAGCTCGTGTGCTCATTCTAGATGCATTACGAAAGCCGGAAGTATCTGAAACGGGGAGGTGCTACTTTCGTGTGTAGCACGTGTGTTCGGAGTCCTTGTCCGTTTACGGTGCAATTGTAAGAAATCTATCAGTAATTATGAATAACCATAAGTATCGAAATATCTTTTTGACTAAAGAAAACGGAACTCCGCTGATATTGAGCAGGACAAGAAAATCTTTTTTTTACTTCCTTGTGATTGAAGGAAGAAAAGATGCTTATGGTTACTCCGACGGAGTCATAGTGCATCACGCTTGCGATCTACAAACTGGAATGCCGCGGTAGAATGGGCACTAACGTGCAAAAGCACACCAACGTGATACGTTTACAAGCGGCAGATGTCGCGGAAGGATGCATTTTATTTGTTTGGAGTTTGCTCTTAGATGGGAGTCACGAAGGGTCGCGTATGTTTGAATTCTCTGTGGAGGAAAAACTGACTAATAATGTTCAAGCCTTAAGCGTTTCTACCACCGCAATGACATCCGACTCTCCTGGAGGCGATACAGTAACTTGTTAAGTATGCTGCTGTAGCCAATGCTTGCGCTATCTTATGAGTTATGGTAATTGGCTCAAGTGGTTTAGCATCGTGGTGCTAAAAGGCAACTTGTGAGTTCAATTCCCAC